ATTAGGGTCATTGTTTCTGGGACACCTTGCAAAATGTTATTTCCTCCAGCAGCCCACAACAGATTTTTTGGGGACCGTAGTTGAAAGTATGTCACACCGTCGATTTTATTATGGTGCTGAGTTTCAACACATTTCAAGTACTGTTACTTGTTCTATTGATACCAATGTTGTCGAGGTCCTTCTTCTTTAAGTCCCTGGGCGTCTTCGTTTGTTTGTTCGTTTCAGGATTGCCTTTTTTCAGAGTTGCTAATAATTTTTTCTCAGATCTGTCGGAAAAATGTTTATATTGCCTCGCGAATCCTCAGCATATATGTCGCATGAGCCATATGCCTGTAGTGTTAGTCATTAGTTTTAGCCCATAATATATCCTATCCTAGTTTCCGGACATTCCATTCTATTCATTCTACTTGAGTCTTATTTTGACCTTGTTAATTATTCGCTTATTAGCCTTGACTGTTTTCATATGAGCGTATACGTGTGTACACTTCATGTCCCATGACTCATCACATGTCTGTAGTTTAGTTTGTCTGCCTATAAATACTGAATATTGCCCGGGTTGAAATGGAGTTGGCTTCCCAGCCATCTTCCATACGTGTCAAAATTGCTTTGCTATGGCTCTCGCTCGCTTGCTTGCCTTTCAGCACAACTCTTCTATGCTTGTTTAACGCATCTGTACATTTGGATATATGTGTGTGGTCTCGTAATAAACGTAATCAACACTTCGTATTTGTCTTCTGATTGGTATACCGTTGGGACGTTATATAGAACGGTTATCAGGATGAGCTGTATACGAAGTTTAAGGATTATATCTAAAACAGATCACCACATGCCAACTAGCTACCTGACTTACTAAGTCTATTGTAAGTAGCTTCTGTAAATTCTGCACATGCCTCATGAAACCAGAACTTGCACTTTTCACGTCGCAAATCACATATTACAGCAAAGTGACATCCAGGTCGCTTGTATATGATCTTAGTAATCATGATGAGATGTGAGTTGTTAACCAAATTCTAGACAAAGTTTACGACTATGCGAATGGCAATGTACTCAGAACGAACTGTCTAAAAAGTTAAGTCAGATCAGAATTTACCTCGTCGTGTAAAACCGTAAGCACGGTATGGCTAAGACAAAACCACAGTTAAATACTGACTCAGATAAAACTTAAAAAGATTCTCTTGATTAAAAAGAGCACTTTTTGAGTACTGGAACAGTAAATGTTTGAGGAATATAAATAACGTATGTATAATACTTCTGTTCATAAAGAGCTCGTTAGTTTATTTTTACAGAATATTATTATGATGATTAGAAGTATCCACACTGTTGTAATAACTATGGTTCTCAAAATAATGCAATTTACTGGAAGTAGAACCAAAATGAACATACCAATGAACGTGCTACATTTGGAAATTCGTAACCAGCGGTAATTATGTCTTCAGTCTTCAGTAATAAAGATAGTAGGTTGGTGAACCTGTGTTAATCCTGACAGATTGCTTCCCAGTGAAGGTTCAGTTTCTCCTTGAAAATATTCACTGATGGGGCTGATACCACTTATTCGGGTAAGGCGTTCCAATCACTGACTACTCGATGAGAAAAACGGGACCCCACTTTAAGTTTATTAGATCGCGGTTTGTGAACCTTCTTGCTATGACCTCGGAGATTATTAGTGCTGAAGGGCGCAAAAAGACAAGACATATTAACACCCAAATCATAATTGAAGATACGAAATGCCAGTGTAAGGTCACCTCGCGTCCTACGACACGACAAGGGGAAAAGCTTTAGGTATTTTAAATGCTCATCGTAAGGGAGTTTAGAAAGACCCTTCACTAATTTCGTTCCCACACGTTGGACACGCTCAATTGAGTTAGTATCTTTTACCATATATGGGCCAGCGGCTTGGATACACTACTCTAAATGTGGTCTTATATATGTGGGATATAAAATTCGAAACATTTCCTTGTCAAAAGATTTGAACACTCGGCGAAGTGACCATAACGCATGAAAACGTTTGACAGCGGTCGCGTTGCAATGCGTAGTTGTTTTTAATTCATGACTTATTATTACTCCTAGGTCTTTATGTTCTTGAAGGCATGGAAGAGGTTTACCATCAATAGAATAAAGGTAACTATTACCGTGACCGATGTGCATTAGCACACTCTTCCTGTAATTTATTTCTAAGCGCCAACCTCGAGACAATCTAACTAAATCGTCTAAGTCAGCTTGGAGATCCAGATTTTTACGTCCGCAAACAATAATGTCGACGACCTAAGCAACAGCGGTAACTCATTAATGTAGAGAAAGAAGACCAGAGGGCCTAAGATGGTGCCTTGGGGGTACAACACTTTTGACCGGCTCCCAATAGGATAACGTTCCATTGACCCTCACTCTCTGTCTGCGGTCACATAAGAAGTTTTTTATCCACTCCTGCACAGCATATATTATTATTATTATTATTCACAAACATCTTATGGGTACATAAGTGTTGTGAAGAAACCATTTCGGGTTTCTTCAAAAAATGCAATAATACACAATTTTCAATAATGTCAGCATTATACTTGCCATTTAAAAAAATTAGAGCAATAATGGTAGAATATTAATAATAATAAATCGGGTCTGTGCAATTGAGAAGAATATTGAATTGAGTTTAAAGAAGGAAATGGAGAAAATAGGGGAATAGAAATAAAGGAGACGTGAAATACGCAAACAGTCTAATAGGCGTGTTTATGAACACAGAACAAGAATAAACGACTATGTGTGTATCGTTAAATTAGTAACAAAAATAATTAAGAAAAATGACTTATAATTGCAGTAAGATATGACGCTAGAATAAATGTTTGTGCAGTTATAGTTTAGAGTGATGCGATGAAAGTCTCAATTGAGTGGAGATTCTGCATAAGACCTAAGTGTGAAACCTTATCACATGCTTTTCTAAAATCTGTGAATATCATATCGACAGACAGGCCTTTATCTCAAGCTGCTGTCCAATCCTCTCTCGCAATAAGAAAGTTGATCAAACATGAACACTTGTTACGGAACCCATGTTGCTCGGGAGTTAGCAGATTGTGTGAATCTATGTGATCAAGTAACTTAACCCGAATTATCTTTCCAAGTAACCTGACGACTATGCTAGTTAGACTGACAGGTTAGGATTAGGGTAACAGTAACGGGGGAATACCATCACTACGTTTCATTCGCCGTTTAACATACGAAAACAATCGTTTCGGACAAGTACGGCTATCATATAGCAACTGTCGTTCGTAAGTAGTACGGGATTTAGCTATGGTTTTCTTACAAATATTCCTGAATTTTCGGTACTCACGCAATGTGATAGCTTACGTGCTGACCATGGGATAAACAGCGACGTTACGGACTAGAATGTAGCCTTAAACTTGTTCCATTCGTCTTCGGTCGATCCATCCGCGTCGACCGACCAATCAGTTGAGATAGCACAGTTTTTGATTGCCGGAATATTAGCTAACCAGATATTGGGACGGGGTGGAGCAGATACAAACTGTATACCATGTGTCCTAAACTTAAAGTGAATTACAACGTGATCACTGTTCACTACTGGTAGAAGGTGCTGAATATCAAAGACATCCTCATAGTTGTGGGTGAGGGCGAGGTCCAGCAGTGACCGATCATGTTTCAAGTCAATATATGTCGGCTTTGCAATACCTGAAACCCTTTCAGGTAGTACGTTTCTTATAACAGATTCCACTAACTGCAGATCGTGTGCATGTCTTTTCGGAGGGTCATTGTCTTTCCACTCCTCTAGATTCCAAATAATTAAACTAGGGAGGGGTTTAGGTTCGTTGGAAATCGTATCCACGGCTTTCGATCGTGATGTTAGATCTTCCATATTAATTGTTGGCATATTACGATTTGCTTTTATTGTAACAGGGTCATAGGAGTCGAGCGAGTGACTCACAACAATGTTTGACAAGGATTTACTTTGAGACTTTGGCACAGTAGTCTGAGAGTGCACCAAGGACTTAGCAAGTGAACGGGCATTAGTTTCAACGATGTTACATACTCTTCTGTGTTTCCGAGTCATCCATTCTCCATTAGTATTAGCGTCGACACTAGAACTACTCGGGACAGTAATTGTTTTGCTTGGATCACTGGTCGCTGCTGTAGCAACACGGACACCAATATTTAATGACGTGTCACCCACTGATTGTTTCGGGGTAGAAGGTTCAATAGCGGGTTGCACAGCTAGATGTCTGGTTTGCGCCGTGACAGCACTTACGACACTGACGCAGTCTTCACCATCAGTACGAATATTACCAGTAAAGTCCTCGTCGACCTTCTTATTAGCCAACACAAGGAGGCTAATTGCTTCTGGGATGAGTAATGTTTTGCTCGAGCAACAAAAAATACAAAGCCAATGAGGGTTAGGCTTTGAGAACCTTTTATATGCAGTGGGGCTTAATCGGGTGCACATCTTATGGAACCACTAATTACACTCATCACATCGCATCCCTTCCTCCACTGGGAATAAGCAATATGGTTGTCTACATTTATGAGCAGGGCCGGCCATCTTGAGAAAATCAACTACAATGGTGACAAAAACAGGATATGTAAAAGAATTCTCAAACCTTAACCGAATAAATCAAGTAAACGTCGACCAGGTATGCTTCGATACAATAAATACACAAGAGCAAAATCGAAACACTCAATACAATATCACTTTGACTGGAATAGATTCAATTAAAGTGTAAACAGTAGTTTTGATGCGTAATTTACGATTAAAATGGTTAATTAACTCAACGTGAAACAGTACCACTGCACTCTTAAATAGCGCGCTCGTACAAAAGAAATATTAGTTCGTAAAAATACCACAGTTAACATGCTGTGATACCTTTATAAGAATGAGCAACCAACCAGCTTCAGTACTCGATACCTCTCTCTCATTCATTTCCTGCTTATGGAGTAATGTAAGAAGATTGCTACCAAAAATCTTTGAACCCAGAACATAGTGGCTTCTAGAATGACCTTTAGAAGACTGATACCTTCTAGTCAGTCTAGTAGCGGGAAATATGAATAAACAGTTGATGGGACAGGTGAAGTGAATCGCAAAGTAATGATGACTCCACAAACCCCTCAGTTATCCTTTGTAACGAGTTAGATAAAGAGGTTTTTCCATATGCTTTCAAAGTATTTTTTTAGAGAGTCTTTATGTATTTGTAAATAGTTTAGCGACCTAAACGAACGCAGTCGCGTAAATGACCGGTCTCATTATCTTGGGGAAATTTTTAAGAACTTTCGATGAATTTCTGGACTTTCCCCAGTCGTAAGAAATATGGTGGTTTTCCTCAGACATTTCTGAGATTTCCCCAAAACTCTTGGGATTTTTCCCTGCACTGGAAAACTTTTGGGATTTTTGTGCCGTTTCCCCAAAATTTTCTGTAGCGATTTCCCCGGCGAGTGTATGATTTATGGATGAACCAATCATGTATTTTGGCACGAAATTCACTCATTCATTCGGCAGGAAAGAGTTTTGGCTTTATAGCTGCTGTCAGTTCGTGATGAAAGCCCTAAATTTAATTTCTAACATCAATCATCAACTGTAAATCGTAGTTCTAATTCCTCAAACAGGTTTATAGCCCTCTTTTGGTTCTGGTTCACTCAAACCGGGCACGATTTTCCCCAGAATAGGGAGATTGTGTACCTTTATAAAGATAACCCATATTTAAAGAGTTAGTTTGGTCGCAGTTAGCCAATGCGTCGAATAAAACCTTTGCTTCATAAACTTCTACTTTGAATGGTAAAAGGAACTAATCCATTCTGATTGCATTCCTTCACCGCTGAGGATTTAATTAAATACCATTCACCTCTACCATACAATCACTTCGCGATCGGAGTCTCAGGTCACTAAAATCCCGCCATTTCGTAACATGTTTGTTGTGCTTTCTAGACGAACTATTTATACTGGAGTTAACTGTTTAAAAAACACGATGTATACTGAGTTCATTAAGTAGTTCCCCCCTGTTTTTACTAACATGAAGTCATTGAGTAACGGTCCCATGAAAGTAGAATATACAGTTGGTTTCATACAGACTGCGGGTCTTCCTGAGTTGGTAGTTGTATTTCCTTACTGCTTAGGATTTTTTAATGAATCGTAGATGTGGATTATTTCCCATTCCACTCGGTGTCGACTTTAGTTTGCCTAACCGTACATTGTAGCCTAATCGAAGTACCCTTCGATATACCTTTGTTTGATCCTGTTTGGCATGAACGGTTTTCTTTTTAAGGTTATCTACGTTTCTGGAAAGGAATCCAAGCGATTTTCATTGCTGTAGCGTATATTTTGTTGGTTGAGGAACACTACCGTAATAATCATGTCATTTCCTGCGGCCGAAAATGTCATACCAGAGTCTCTCAAAGGCTACAAAGTCAATGTGTTCTGCTCACCATTGGCACTGGACACTTGATGTTAAGCGAAAGATTCTCAATCATTTGCTTATATCTCGTTCAAAAAAGTTCGGCTGGTTTTGCCTTCTTATCATCCTTCGAAATCAAGTCACATGGTCTTTATAGCTGGTAGGCGAATTATTTTCACCCATAACTTAATTCTCATACATAAAACCAGTTTTTAGTGTTACAACGGGTCACACTACTACAAGGGAGGTCGCGTTACTGACAGCGACTAATACCGTTTTGGTTACTATCTCTGTGAAGTAGCACATACTTGTCCATGCTGTACTGTCACCATGAGATCCTTCAGCCGCTAAGGCTGACAGGGTGGCTGACCACTTTGTTGCCTATGATCGGTCTGGACGCTGAAGTAGTTAGGACGTCTATGAAAAAAGATCAGACAAAAATTAGGACAGTGGCACCCTTAAAAACATCGATTGAGGCTGATTATTCCGATGACCATCAAGTAAATATGTAAATTGAAACCAGAGCAGGGATTGGTAGATCCAACACTTAAACATGACTAAGTAGACAAGTTTGAACTAGAAAAGGAAACGGAAGAGTTTAATGTAAGTGGTAGTTGTCATGACATCCTATAATTTCTATTTCCATTGTATCGTTTAACTGTACCAAAGCAGCATATTCCCTTTTGTACTCAGAAAGCCGTTATTATGGTTCTCCGATCTTGTTTGAGGAGCAGATGGCCGACATCAACATTGTAAAGTCTACATAGTAATAGTGTTGAATAAATTGCCTGCGTTCAGTGGTAGCTTTTATCAGGTATATTTTCAGGAGAACTCGATTGCATTACTTTTGTTTAGAACAGACACGGCACAGTGTCCAAATGATATGTGTTGTTTAACTGTTCTTTAGCTAGACCTAATCTACACGGCTTTCTCATTATGGATAATACAACAACATAAGACTGAAAATAGTTCTGGTCATTTAAATTTTTAGTTTTCGATGTAGTACATAGGAAGAATTCGAATACGAGAGTGATCTAGATGAAGGACACTAAACCTCGTAAGTTGGTAAGCTAATTGAAGTTAACACTGACATAGCACAGCTGCCTTTGTACTATTGTGACCATTAACCATTCTGTCACTCGAGCCCGTGAAACTTGGTGTCCAACTCGAAATCCATTGTGAATATATGTTGTTGCACCGTTAAGCTAAGCACATGCTCCAGCAATCTCATTCGATTGGTGTTTATATAGAAAGATTTGCCTTTACTGGGAAGTTTATGTCAAATATTAAAACAACTCAATAAAGCTGCCATTATCCACAGCGATATTTCCAAAGCACCGCTTACATATAGTTTACTTATTTAACCCATCTCCGGTCACGTTTTACGACTGTGTTATGGATGAAGAGGTGAGTGAGTTGTTTTTTTTGTCTGAGTTCCAATGTATCGCAGTCATGGTGAATGTAGAGTCTGGCCTAGATATTTGTCATCCAAATTATCGTACCATTTCACCAGAGCGAGATGAAATTAAGGTAAATGACAGGTCAAAATGGTAGTAATATTGAAGATAGTGAGAGAGACTAATCACATAAAAAGCATGATCTGAAAAGAAGTTATGAGTGAAATAATATATCAACTCATAACTTAGGAGTAGGTAATAGTGATTACACATCGAGGTAAGTTTAGTTTCAGGATACGCAGTGTATGTTCTACGCATCTCAGGTGATGCAGCTCTACAGTCATGTCAGCTGCATTTCCATCTTTAACCAGATTTTTACGTCCAACTTCAGTTTTTCTCATTCCCCTCATTCTTGAGCAATGTGTGTATTTCACCAACTACCAGTCGGACTGTCTTATTCACAATAAACTTTGTTTGTTTAAGTTATGTGCATCATCGTGATATTCCGGCCTCGTTAGTATTCGGTTTGCCAGGTTTTTTTAAGCCTATGAACTTTCATCGTTCTAGAGATTGTGTTATATATAGTACTTGTAATATTGATTAGGAAGTCATATTTTCCTCTACAGGTTGCTGGATTGCATTGCAAAGCTTTTCGGTTAATCTTTCGAGCTAACCAGCTGACTTCCATCTGGTGTACAAATTATGAGCTCACAAGGTTTACCTCCTGGATGGTCTATGGGTTATGATAGTATCACTGGTTTCCCATTTTTTATCGATCACATTAACAAGTCAACTACATGGGAAGATCCACGAAAGTCTAAAACTCAAGTGAGTCTATATCAACATAACCGTTAACAAAATTGTGTCAATACAACAACTTCAAACAATAATAATGCAATTGTTTGATTTGTTGGTATGTATATAATGCTTAAAATCATAGCTTGAAACCGTTACAACATATCGTCTTTATTTAGCTATTCCACCTTTCATAACCAAGTTGAAGCCTAAATCATCGAACAAATGGTACTAAACAGCTGTTTTTTCATTACCTTTGTTGGTGTGTGTGACCTTTCGACTGTTAATCAATGATGAATGTAATAATTTATAGTCTTGTAAAGTATGTATTCGTCGTGTGTAGTTAATGGTTTGGGTTTATAAAATTGTCCTTTGATTGACAACCTCATATGTACTAATAAACTTTCATCCTTTAAGTGGTTGTACTATTAACTAGTTTTCCCGTTGGCCTGTTCTTTCTCTACTCTTACCAGACCTTGAACTTATATTTTTTTGTTTTTAAAAATAATTAGATTAGGTCTCTTTATTCAGTTATTATGGAATTTTGAATCACGAAGCTACTACTACAGTAATTTAATTGAATAATTTCATAATAAAGATATTTTAAAAATTGTACACATAAAATATGAAGCATTTCAATTCTATGTACAGGTATATAGTTAGGGGGTTAAAGTTACACCAATAATTTTCTTGCAATTTTGATCAACTGATGAAAACAGATTTTTTTCGAGAAGGTCAAGGGTTTGTCAGTATGTTAGAAACTCCAGTGGTGATTCATAACTAGGATGATCGTCGAAGTCTTTTGTTGATAGAAATACTAAATATACGGAATCTCCTATACTTTCTAACTTCTAAACCAATATTGATAATTGTTGACAAACTAAATTTAAGACAGTTTTCTAGAAAGACGATAGTACTGAATAGACTAAATTTTAAAGACTTTCAGGGATATTTTAAACAATAGGAAGTGTTCTTATGGACTCTAAATTTAGTAGAATAAAATTCTTGTCCTCAGTTGGATTGTTTACTGAACAGTCTGTGTATATACTTGTTTTCAACAACAGATACAGATTAATACAGACACTACTGTCACCAGTAATTGTGTACTCATCGGCTCAATATTAGCGAGTTGTTTATGTATAATTTAGGCAATAGAATGATCACTTCGTGGATTGGTTGAATTTGGACATTAACACCGTTGGATGCCGGCTCAGTGGTCTAGTGGTCAAGTGCTTGCGCGCGAAGCCAGTAGGTCCTGGGTTCGAACCCCGCGTGGTGCAGGATCGTGGGTGCGCACTGCTGAGTCCCATACTAGGACGAAACGGCCGTCCAGTGCTTCCAGGTTTTCCATGGTGGTCTAGCTTCAATCGACTCATGATTTCAACCTATGAAATTTCTAAAAAAAACTCCACAAAACCCATTCTGATAATTTTCAATAAGTTTAATTCTGTCAACTAAGTACACTCAACGCAACACAGAGTTGTACTGAACGAAAATTCATATAACTTTAGGAGTTGATTAATTCTCAACTGTCACTTGCTTCAGTAGGATCCAGTTATTTCTTATGAATAAAGAGTTTAACGTACATATTCCTACGTCAATCTTAATGAGGTCTATGATTGTGTTGTTTTTATATAACAGTGAAGCGTTTTTAATCCAACTCAGCCAGTAAACATTCAGTCAATATCCTCTACTTGTCTATAAAATATAACTAAGGAGCAAACTCTGATAACTCTCTTACTTTTTTATGTCTAACAAAAATAATGTGATTCTTAAACAGTTCGTAATTTTTTATGTACCTAATTGTAGAATTCTGGCTGTTCCATTCTATTTTTGGCAAAGCATCATTGAAATTCTGTATTTTAGACGAAAAACAATACGAAACTGCTATTAACACCCTATAAGCCTATAAACATCTCCCATCATAACTGAATGTATAGATCAATAATTCAATTTTCATATTTCATCAGCTGATATCGACTATAACGTTCTTTTAGAATATCTTATTCAAAATAGTTTATTTGAAAAATTCACTTTTATTGACTGGATTGTAGCGTGGAGTCGAATCTCAGTTGACTATGAACACCACTACAAGAAGACTACGTGCCAGTTGACCGATAAAATCCCCTGTAAGTCAGAAGGCAGTTAATGGCTGTAGTCGAAATGTATTTGTTGGCGATCTCGTGGTATCAAAAGGATACCGAGATCGTGCCAAAGGAGTACAAGCGTGGTTACCGAGCGCAACCGAACCCGTGCAAGGTCACAATCCGCGGAAAAGTAATGGAGGAGTAATATGGCTGTCTTTAGCACAGTTAAACAAACTAGCATAGTAAAACAATCACTGGTACAATTGGTTATAATAATGATTGTTTCCATTAAATTAATCGCATTTTCTTGATAAAAGAAGGTCACTACACAGTAAACACACGTTATGAATACTGTCTAGTAGTAATGGTGAAACAAAATATTTTTCTGATAGATTGGTCTTTTTGTGAATCTGTCGTTCGAATCTCGTAAGGCGGCATCGTAGATGGTCATTGATGAAAAGTTCTATACTAAGATGGAACGGCCGTTCAATGCTTCCAGGTTTTCAACGGTGGTGTCTAGCTTAGATCAACTCGTAAATTCATCTATGAAAATGCTACAATCTTCGAAAATTCTCATACTAATACAAAATATTTTTTTAAAGTGAATAGTTATCCTATCAAAGAAAGTGAGAATATGACATTAATGATATAGAATACAACGTATTCATCATTAGGTATTTTTGAGTTGCTTTATTTTTTAGCTACACACATATACAATCTAATACATTTAGTCATTTTACATTGTTTACACTAGAATTTAGAATTTACACAATATAAATTGTTTAATTACAAAGTATAGACTGTAAAAGAAAATACCAAAAGTGATGACAGTACTAGAATATTTTAAGATCATTTTTGTTACTCAATATAATGAGAATTTTAAAGGAGGTTTAGAAAGAACTAATCAGTTAATTAAGTTATGATTATAATGAATTGAATGATAGAAAGAAAGAATAGAAGTCAATATACTCAGGTTATCATGACAGATGTTAGTTAATTACTTACTTGTTTAAACATAAAGGTCATGTTTAAGCTTTCTAATTTGTTATGACTTCACTAAATTCCAATTATGTAGAATTACATTGTTATTCGATTATTTTGCGTGAATGAATACATTCAGTCTGTCAGTCAACTACACTGTAGGACCAGGCACATATAAGCATCGGTCCAAGCTCCCATACCTCATTAGCACAACATGATCAACACCAAACTCATAGAAGTAGTTAATCCAATGGTGGTAATATATAATAGAAAGATTTTATGTAAAGATATAGTACAGTGAGAAAGAATTAGCTCGTAGAAAAAAATATATGAAGCGATTTTAATTTCATAGTTTCAAGGAAGACAGAGAGTGTATACACCTACGCCATTGTGACCGATTCTGAGACATGTTACCCAGAGTCTCCAACCATTGGTTACGATAGTCACACGGACCCCAACCAAGTAGTCTGTATCTCCCAACATGGCTCAGACTAGAAGTTAGTGACTTCAAGCACTGATGCCACGTTTTGTTTTGGCCGCCCTTAACTTTCTTTCAACCATCTCCAACACCAGTTAGCATTGCACGTCGTGGTAATCGGTGTTCAGGCATACGTAACACGTTGCATTCTCTTTAAGATAGCCACTCAAGATATTGCTTGTACGGCCTATATAACGTGCTCCACAAAAGCAAGTAAACTGATAAATGCAGACTGAGGTGACCCAAAGCGGCAGTTTATCTTTGACACTTCGCTGAATGGGTTTTTTGCTGGAGAAGACATTACGAAACGGCGAAATAAAACGTCGTTCTCAGGGATCTATATAATCTGTTCTTTCATATCTTAGGATCCGTATCCCCATCGAATTCAATTTTCAACATCTGAACTTCCCTAGGAACTGTAGGAATACTTTTAACTTGATGTTTTGATTTTAGATTACTATCAATGAATCTGGGTGGGAAGCCATTCTTGAGGAGTTTTCACTGGACTATATTCAGCTCATCATCAAGTGCTTGTCTTCAGAGCATATTCGTCTGGTTCTTGAGAATAGCGAATGGATTAAATTTATCCTTCTACTCAGAGATACATAACTCTGAAATTTCGTATACTGTCCGTTCCAAGTAGGGTTTCTGAATCACATCCGATACATGAATAAGTTTGACTATCTTTGATAATTTATTAACACTCCTCTATTTTACTATAGACTAATTCACGTAAAAAAACTAGCGATAAATACGATTGTACAGTTTCAAAAAAATGATATCGTCAAAAAGAAAAGATTTTCTTTACTGAAGTTAATCTAAACTGTGGAGGTCCCGTATTATAAGGAATCTTCAGTCCATTGCTTCCAGGTTTTTCAACGGTGGTCTAGCTTAAATCGATTAGTCAATTCAACTGTGAAAATACTACAATCTCCAAAAATCCTCATACTGACAACCGAGGAATGTTCTGATCACTTTTCTTTTTCATAAAAGAGGGGTGTGTGGCTCCCTAAGTAAACTACCTATTTTGGTCTGGGCACCCTGGTAATAAATATCACAGCCCTCACACAAATCATTGATAACTGCTACTGGCTTCATTGTTCTTGTGTAGCGCATATGTGTTTGGTGCCCCCTTGTACCAATGTTTATCTGTTCAAATAAATAAATAAGTCTATAAAAGATATCAGAGACATTGGTTATTTAAGAGAGAGGCTAAATATTGCTATTGATTGTACAGTTTGTTAATCTTATTCATGTTCTATTATTAATTACAACCTTGACCTTTGTGTTGCATATTAATCAACAAGCTTGCAAAGTAATTTTTCAAAATAAATCTATTTTAAGAAAAAGGTAGTTTAAAATGGTGCATATTCAATTATTTGTACTTACTATACGAAAACGTACTATATATATATATATATATATATATATATATATCTGTAGACCAACATACTATATAATTCAATCATTTATTAATGACAGCTAAATGTTCGTTTCCAACGCGAATGAACCGTTTCTGTAGTTTCTTATTTTTAGTTTTACTTCAGGTTTATAAACTTTTAACAACAATGAAAATGTTACGTTTTAGATGTATAAGATAGTTATTTGAGAAAATGAACTTCTTTTTGTAATCGTTGAATTCATGAGTCGATGTAAGACAATAGATGATTGGTTGCGCGAGACCATGGACCGATTGAAATGAAGCATGAACATCGTTGAATGCCGGCTCAGTGGTTTAGAGGTTAAGCGTCCGCACGGGTGACATAAATCCCTGTGTTCGAGTCCCGCATGAGGGATTGTGGATGCACACTGCTGGGGAGTCTCATACTGGGACGAAACGGCCATCCAGTGCTTCCAGTTTTTCAATGGTGATCTAGCTTACATCAACTCATGAATTCAACTATTAGAAAATTACTACAGTCCCCACAAAACCCTCATTATGATCATAAAATGAATTCTCTTTTATGGGAATAATTGTTATATTTCAAACGTTTATATGACTGAATTTGTTTACGCGCAATGATTCTCAGTTTTGAAGAACTGGGTTGAAAGGAAAATACAGGCAATCAAGCCAAAATATGATACTAGTTCATAGAGTTATTGATTGTTGGATTAAGGCGTGTTGGTAGGTGCAAATGACTTGATCCACGCAATCATTGTGACCAGTGGTTTGAAAGACATTGAAGGATATGAAATGGGTTAAGCCGATCACATTCCCCCACATTTATTCGTTGTCTATCTTCCCCGTAAATTTTGAGTTTTATAATTATCTCATCCTTTTCTTTGCCAAGAATTCATTCTTCTCATATTATACTTTCTATGCATAATATTTTTTATTACTAATTTTGACACTGTTACTACTTGCATTACTTTGGGATTCGTATTGATGATTTCACCTCGTTATAGTGATTATATATATCAAGTTCTACATTGCTTGTGACTGACTGATTTACTGGGATTCTAGGCGAATCTTTCAAAATGTTCATGATCCCAGTCTACCACTGTCAGTATCCATTTATACCAATGTTTAAAATACTAAACATTTTGAAATTAAACTACTTAGAAATGAATATAGTATCCTAATTGAGTGATAATACCATTAATTTATGTGATGCAATTCAAATTAAGGCAGTTTATTATTTGTTGATAAGGCATTGATTTTCCTCGGAAACACGTTTTTTTTTAATCCCTCTAAACTGGATCTTATGCAACTAATTGAAATGTTTATATTCATCACTTGAAACTAACATGAAAAACATTTCTTTTCATAAAATTTCCTCTTTATTTATCTCATTGTGATGATGTTTATGTCTCTTATGTAATTTAGAATTTTATAGTCCTTATCCTATATTCATATTTTTAATGATTTTTCCACTATATTTATTTCTATAATCTAGAGTAATATCACACAAAATTTACAATCTGTCCCATCTTATTCATCTGAATCTATTAATAATCGTCGACAATATAACCTTCCTGGAAATGAACCAGTGATCGATCCTTCCAATCCAGGAGATATTAAATTAGGCAATGTAGGAGATAACATTCAACGTAAAACTCAATCACATTATGATAATGTTAGTGAACCAATACCAATCAAGGTAAGCTGATATAGTTGTCTTTTGACTTAACTATGTGTGATGTTAACCATTATTATTTTTTGGGGGGACTTAATTTGAGAGCTCTCTTGTCCTATATGATATTTCAAATAAATCTAACATTCACCTTTCCCCTATACACTCTCCAAGTGTCTTCATATCTAAAGGAGATCAATCGGTAAAGTGTTTTGGCATCTCTTCAATCAAGACTCAATTGTTATATCTACTTTGGTCTAAAAAACGGAACTTAACCACATAGAGTTAATCAATGATTTGACTGATAATCTCACTAAATTGAACAACGATAGTTAGCTATATTGGATTATAGGTTTCAACGTCATCGTTTTAACTATTTTCAACTGTGCTTCCTGAAAATCTTGTTGCCTTTACTATATAGTAGTCACTGAGATCCAGTGATAACTCTTTTCACATACATACATCTATTGGTCGACATTTCTATAAGCCTGTCAAGTCATTTTTAATTAGGGTTTCATCAGTGATCTTATAAACTAATGATCCAGCTACTGAATTATTCTGTCTGTACTTTTTCTTTCAGATACCTTTATTGTAAGAGCGAACCTTTCAGTTTCATTCACAATTATACACTGTTCTTCCCTTTATTTGTACAAAACTAAATTAAATAATTATGTTCAGTAATGTCTTTTATCAATTAGCCTGACAACTATTTAGAAACCCTTTTATGGTTTTTATAGTTTAAATCATTTACTGGTCTTAGCTAAACCATTTTTGAAAACCTGATAGCACTGAACGGCCGTTTCGTCCTAATGTGGGACTTCTCAGCAAAGCGTATCTACGAACTCGCATCGGGTAATCAAACAGAAGACTTTCGGTCTCATGTCCAAACGCTTGACTTCTAGACCACTGGACAAGTATCTGATGATGTACATGTCTATCTTCAGTCAGCTCATGATATTGCACAACCCTCCATCGCTTACCAAGAGTGAATATCTGTCTCACTCAACATGATTGGAGTCCGCCGATCACTCCTCACTAGGATTCCGGTAGTTGGATCTTGAAGCTTGTCGCTAGTGAGCACATGGTTATAACTACTACATGGGGTTTACAGAACTATGGAATTTTCGTAGTTTAGATCGTGAACTTAGCTAGTGTAATTGCCTTATACACCTTGAGTTTGGTATTTAATTTGTGTTCCTGTAGTTTAGGTAGTTCCATGTTAAGGTTCTTAATAAAGCCTCAAACCTGATCAATCGCACCTACTTGATCCTGCTGCCTTTCACTGTCCGAAAATTCGTGCATTTCCAGTCTAGCACTATCTGCATATTAGTTTAAAGACTTTCACGCTCAAGTAAACCTTTTTATCACAGCCTTTTTGCTTAAATTCTTTTTATTTTCTGGTAGATAAACTACATATCTAATTGTTTTTCTCAACTATTCACATCATAATCTATTAGAAAATTCTCCTCTTTAAAATTATAACTACTTATAAGTAATATGGCTGGACTGTTTAAGCACGACATAGCTCTCTATTTATACACTATTAGACAGGTATAGGTAATTAATACAATACAATGATGGATTGTTTTTGTGCCCATCGATAAAGTTACAGCATGTTCGTACTTGTTACTTCAGTAAACTTTGTTTTTTTTGGCGATATTATTTGGTATCACAGATTGTTCATCAAATAGTGCCCGGTTTGACATCGGTGATAATCCTTCCATCGTATCGTTTACATCTTGAATAACCAGAGATCAATATTTCTAGTTGTGAGATTAAATGTGTGTGATAGTTTGAATACTTGTCAAAATATGAGTTACACTTGAGCGTTGCAAACAACCTTACTGATTAATAGCGTCAATCAATAGCGCTCAATGACCAGTTTGATTACGTGTTAGTTAACGTTTTCATTAACAATTAGAAAATAAAGTGTTGTTTACACTACTACCTGACTAGCTGTTTATGTCAATGTGACTTTTGTTGTTGTTGTTATTCTTGCATTATTAATCATTTGACTTGAACATATTGACTATAGTTGTATTAGAATTGTATATGTTATTAGAAATATTTTCTTTCATTTTAACAACTCTTACCAAGGTGCATTCTATCAGCTCTTCGAATAATAATAATAACAATAATAATAATAGTAACCATCATGAATATGAACAAAAGCTGAGCAACACCCCAGCAACTCAGTCGTTTGATTCGTATAAACCTAATCAAAATTCTTCCACAAATAAAAGCGAATCAATTCCTATCAAATCTGTTTCTGTTAAAATTTCAGATGATAATAATAATAATAGTGATAATAATGAAAATGTATCTCAACCAACAACATCAGATCCATTCTCTCTTATAGAACAAGCTCAATGTGAACTTGCAGAAATAGAAAGTGAGATTAGCGGGTTTACTTGTGAGTTGACTTATTTATTAAAAATATTTTGTACCGTATTATATACATATATAAGTATGTATATGTATTAATGAATCCGATAGTTTATACTGTGGAAAAACTCAGGTATAAGCGAGCAATATTGTTTCCATTTAGCTTTACTCTATCTTACAGTGATGTTTATATAAAAATCTTAAACCCATCAAGATAGTTTATGGGTCAATGAAAAAGGATTGCATAACTAATCGTTATAAGTAAATTACACAAGTCGATAATAAAATAACAATTGTAGTAACAATGGTACGAATAATTAACGAAGTGATAATATGAACAAACTTATTGATATATGAAATGGGTCAAAGCTTAAGAGAATAAACTGACCAAGATACTAATCATTATAAATTATGTGATAGGAAATGCATGTTAGCAGTCAAATAAAACATATAAGTAGTAAAAAAAGAGTTACGAAGATCTCGACTGGAGGGGGGGATCCGGATGAACCTGCAGATGCCAGTCCTGTGTAACTGTCTTTCATACCAAGATTTATGTCATAAACTGATCATCCTTTTTCCATTAAATTCCGATGTCTGCTAATGATAAATAATATGGAAGTCTGTGGAACAATATTCGTAACACGTATTCAATATACTGAAGTTCGATTTGGGTATACTATATCATGATTTCATATTAAGGATGGGAGAGTTTCCTGAAGACATCCAAACCACAACTACATGCTTCACAGTTGTCTTCTGGATATCATCGATGCATAAGTTTGGGATCGGCCAGGAGTCTTCAACTTCACTTTTGACTTGAGACAATGGAGAGGTGGTTGTACACTCTCACTCTGCCTGAGGTGTTTATTTACAGTGCATTTAGTTTATTCATATACTTCTCAGGGACCATTCTTAATCCAGGCTTGAGTTTCAGAAGCATTGCATCGATTAGCTTATCTGTGATTACACCATTGGTGGTTGATGTTCCTCATGCCAGTTTTTCAGTTTGGGAGGAGCCTTCCACCCTACTAACACATGAACAGTTGTCAGTGGGAATCTGATAAGTGGGTCCCGATTTGGCTAGGGCACTTAGCGTGACATCGGTACGAGCTGAAATATACGTCGATGGTACGGGGCCCTTGAGTGAGCGTATGTGAAACAGGTTTTTGGAATCGACAAATAGAGATTACATTCTCATTTCCTTATTAGGGTCTTGTATCGAAGTCTCAAAAATTCAATACTTCAACATTATGGTTTTTCAAAAGACAGCCTAAGGTATCGTCAGCAGTGTGAATAACCAAAGAGCGATATCGTCTAAATGCGTAGTGACTCAAAGTTTCTAGGACATTTTTTCGTAGTTATCCATCAATGTGTTTGTATTTGGGATGTGGTACTCCCTGTATTCCTAAACCGAAGCACATGTTTTCTTAAGGTATTACCTCTTTAGTCTTTGATCTGAAGGTCTAGTCCACAAAGGACTTGAACAACTTCAGAAGATCTCAGTCCCATGAAACCTGGTAACTAAATCAGGTTTATACACCACACTTTTCCTCAGGGTCGTATAGCTCATTTACATCATTGAAATCAAGATTTTCCAACTCCACTAGATAAAAATTTATCCAACGACCCCTGTTCTAGTCTCTTGAACACCCGCTTTTCGACTTCACTTTGGTAGAAATTACCATTACTACATGTAAGCAATAAGTGTGGCTTGCAATTTTTTAAAAACAATATTGATAGTGACCCATTTTATTAGTCAAGCATAAATACTAATAAAATTACGTAACGATGGTTGTAGCCCCAACTCTTCGTTGAATTTGCCGACAAATTAAATTTAATCTGATTAATTTATACTGAAGGCATAGAAGGTTTCTATTAGTTCCTTTCAATAAATTCAATTATTGTAGTTATCGTTAAGTCTTATTTTTGTGATTCATATAATGGTATTTGTTTACTTACATATTTACTTAAACACATAAACATAGGTACAGGAAGACATTAAATAGACGTGCACTACAAAAATCATTCGATTTATGTGAGTGTTAGGATACTGCCCGGGTGCTCAAACCAAAGCAGGTGCTTTTCTTAGGGGGCCACACCCCGAGCCTTTGACCTAAAGGTCTAATCCACAAGGCAGCGAAACAACGTGAGGATATACAGTCTCATGGTAGCCGGTGACCAACGATTGTTTCATACGTGATTTGTTTCCTTAGGATCCCGGATTCCATGTGCACCTTTGTTTTGAAATGAGGGTTTTCCAACTCCCCTAGGTGGCTCTTCCATATCCACCAACCCGGTTAAATCCGATTACTAGAAGACTACACCGATTTAAAGTATGAATGATCCTTTTATACTTTCATTATGATGAAATTAATGAATCTTTTTTATATTCTCATACATAATTTTATCCAACTCCATGTTGATATATATTTATATATATTTTTTCCAGCTTCATATAAAACTAAAGCTTATCTGTTACTCGAAGATAAACTTGATAAGCTTATGCTACGATTGGATAAAATCGATTCATCTGGTGAAACATTTATCAGAAATAAACGTCGTGAAGTTATATTGGCTGTTCAAAATGCTCTTAAAAATCTTGAAAATAAACTGACACAAATAAAATCAGATCATCAAGAGCATGATATCAGTTTAACTGATCAATCTTCTTCTTCTTCTAATAACAATAATAATACCAATCATAATATAAATAAACAAGATCACTCATCTATAGATTCTAGAGAAATTCATATAGGTTCTAATGAAGAATGTCAAGACAAGTAGATCATTCTCTATGGTACTTTATTTTATTCTTTAAAACTTCAATGTAGTTCAGTATTTTCCCGTCTACATTATAATATTTTCTGATTATTATTATCATTATTACCATTATCATGTGAATAGTTTATTTGCTTGTATAAAAAGACTAATATGACCATAATTGATGCGTTCATTACTGAAAAGTCTTCTTAGTCGCTTTATCATGCTACGATAGAAATTTTAAACTTTTTCTCCATCCTATTCATATCAAGATATGACGATATTAACTTCTTTTGTCACCATAGTCGGAAGTTGTCTCTGGTATTTATGTTATGTTCACATAAAACATAAAGAGAAAGTCCGGTTATACTTGATTTTGAGGGGGCTTTTTAAATATAATATTTTTATTTCATAGTCACTTTGTGGTAACTTCATTAATGTCCTTACACAAAATTTGTCAGACTAATTAATTGTAATTGATTTACAGTAGTAAACTCATCGTGAGCTATGGCAAGAGTGTTATGAATACTAGAAACAACATGGCAACTTAAATTTAGTACGGAAGTCAATTTCACTTCATTTATTACGAAAAATGAGTTATTTTAATAGGCAGTGAAGGTCCAAGTCATCCAGTCGTTTTTTGTTATCCAAGAGGTGTGAGTTATCCAACATTTTTGCTCATTTGGCTGCATATAAATGATTTTTACCAGCCTTCATTTGAAGCCCTAACTCACACCTTATTCGTTTTTCATCTGGCATGTTGGGATGCACTGCACTAAAGTGTATTCATAACAGAAAGATGTGTGAAATGAAGTCCCCAGCAAGGTTACACTTTCATGCAGCACCCACTCATTAAAGGAACGGAACAACGCTGTATACTGCACATCTAATAAAAGGTCGGATAACCTCAGCCAGCATAAAAATGACGAGTACGTTCTCAATAAACATGCGTTATGTTGCTCCCATTTGGTGGAATGCACTTATCACAACGTTTGTTCATGACGGTCATGGAGTAGACTATACATTCAATATTTGCTATTGACTGATTCGTCGATTACGGTCGCCCAGTTAGTAGACAGGATACCCACTCCTATACCCGTTTCTGCTTATCGATCCAATCCTGTCGTCCTTTACTTTTTGATCGATATAAACAAATAATTTCTGTTTTATGTAGTTCCCCATATTTCCAATGAATTTGATACTGGCTGTTTAAACATGTATTGCTGAAGTTTCGACCAACTATCAATGTCGTCATACGTCTAATTGATCAAGTTACCTTTATCATCCTCATCACTACTACACGTAGCTCACCAACTCATAAACCTCTTTGAATGTAGTGTTTATCACTTAGAAGTCCTTTTTGTTATTATTCTCACTAGATACTTGATATTTTTACGAAGCCATTTTTACACAGGTTTTTTTCATAGTGGTCACGTTGTGACTGGTTAATAGGAGTGGTTATTATTCGGATTTCTACACGTAAACTAGCATTTCGGTAGCCCCTGTATTGTCATTCAATCTTACTAAGACACATCGACACAAGGAAATGGGATCGACGCAATGGATAAGAAAAGAGTTGAGGTAGTAGTAATGTCAATGATAGTGTGAAAACCTAAACACTGTACAATGCATTGTGGAAAGAAGACGAATGTGGGTAATGGCTTGTGTGAAGTAACTGTTGGGCTTATGTTTTAAAAGAAAATAAACAATGGTTTAGACATTGGTGAGCAAAACATCATGCATGGACCCCAGCCTGGTCTACATCTGCTTGGGGAGGAGTATATGAAATGCGCACTTAAATTTTCAGTTGAGCAAGCGTCACTTCAGTAACCTGTGTAACAATCAAGGCTGCTGAAATTGCAGAACTAAACTAAGCTTATTGACCCAGCAACGAAATAATCTATGGGGTTGTTCAAAGTAGGTGTCGGTACGATTCAGAGTATGAATTAATGGAAATCCTGTCTTGACCAGTGGGCGCCCAATGGTATTTCATAAGGCAACAACTTATGACCAAAAACGGATAAGTTTACATTTTCTGTTGTGTCTACATATCAACACCTAAATATTCTGTTGTAGTGGTAACTTTGTTTGTTGAGTTCACATATAACTTTCGAATATTTTTGCTTGTGGTTACATTGAATAGTATAGCTAGTGTTAATAAGATCGTTGCACACCTGTTTATCATCACAAAGATACGATGTTTAGAAGTGCGAATCGCCTTCTAACTTATATCAAAATTTAGTCACATTATGTGAGACGGAAGTTCCCGTTCGTAATTAGCAGCTACAATTTCACAAATTACTTACTCAAGTGTTCCAGTCTATTTAATTTGTCTGTAAATATTGTATAATTGGGTTCTTCTTCTATTGGTATTTTGTTCTGGAGTTAAGGGCGCTTGTAATTTTATAATTAATTATAATTTGTACATTTACTACAAATGATTGTAAAAGTAGTTTGAAATAACATGCCCTATCAAAGACATATCAGTAGAAACAGTCGCATCAGTATTTCCTGGTCTTTGGGTCGTCCCATCAATTGTTACTACAAACCCTGGTTCCACGGTTCAATCCCTTTTTTTTCAGGATTTTGCCAAACTTCTGAGAGTGAACCACATCCAAAAAAGCTTACCACTCAGTAGCGAATGGCCTGGTTGAGAGATTTCACCGTCGACTGAAAAGATCACTGATCTCACAAGCTGATACATCGAAGTGTAGCGACGCCCTACCACTTGTACCACATGGGATTCATTCAACTATCAAAGAAGATATCGGTTGCACATCAGCCGAATTAATCTATGGCACAACCCCAACGTAGCCAGGACAATCAGTCAACCAAGACACAAATGACCCTACTCGCTTCGCGAGCCGTCTATTGCAAACAATGTAAAATGTTGAAGCAATACTCCCCCGTAAGCATAACAGTCTCTTACAGCTTTAAAAACGCCTGAAAACATGTAACTCCGTCTTTGTTCGAGTCGTAGTTAAAACAACCATACGAAGGACCTTATCAGAAAAAAAATCGGATAACCATACACTTCCTTATTAGCAGGAATGGAAAGAAGGAAACTATCTCTATAGTTAGAATTAAGCTTGCTTTCCACGAAGACCAGCAAGAAAAAGAACATGCTACAACAGCTACAGGACTTCTAACATTAATTACTACGAAATCAGAGCAAGATGAAAAACTAAGCAGCAATTCTACATTCTCAATACGCTCAGGCAAAACTGTATAGGAACCTATGCATTACGTCCATTTGCGAAATAAAATAAACTAATAAATACACTACTAAATCCATCCGGTCTTCTGTCGAAAACTATTATTTTTCCACACAATATGTACACAATTAGTTTTATTTTCCGCGGTTACTCGTTTTATATCTTCTGAAAAATCGACAAAGCAATCTTGTCATTCACCAGATTTTGAACCGCTCAATGCTGTCTTCAGAGTAATTCCTATTGAATTATCTTCCAACTGTCCAAGATCTTACTTCATCTCGACGCCAGTATGATAATTAGGATTATTCGAGTCATTGAATTAACTAAGAATTTCAGAAATAGTGCAGTTTAAGACAGGTAAAACTAAATGAGCATAAATAAACCTATATTGTATTTGGAAGTGGTAAGCGTCCTCACAAATGTATATATATATGACCAAAAAGCGTCCTCCTACAAAGCGTATGTGCTAAATATGTAATCGTGAATGAATGGGTAGAAGTCAGAATCTAAAAGCATAGTTGTCATAATATGGGGAAACAAAATGTTGTGCGCTCCTTACGTCTAAATTTAGCTCTAGTTTGATATGGAAACTGTCGATTGATCCACTCATAACTCAAGACCGAAATAACAATAGAAGCAAATTCCAGTTCAGGTGCCGAAATTTTTCATCGTAAAGTACAAGTAATTAACCCGCAGATATAATAACAATGATCTTTAACATTTTTCTGATTTTCGTGAGATCAAATTCGTCCATGTTCAACATAATTACTCGCCTACGCCTGTTACCTCTCGTGGAGCAGCATAGGTCATCCACCAGCATTCTCCATTCAACTCTATCCTAGTCAATCGTTTCCAGTAGCTGTTCATCATTTTGATGACTACTTCCAACTCTCGACACAGTGTGTTCTTTCGCCTTTATTTCCCTTCTGGATTCCAAGTTAGATCATGGCCCGTGATGCAGTTTGGTGATTTTCTCAATATATGTTCTATCCATCTCCAATGTCTTTCATAATTTCCTCTACAACTGGAAGCTGCCCTTCTCTGCCCTACAGTAGGCTGTTGCCGATGGTATCCGATCAACGGACATTGAGTATCCTGTGTAGACATTTGTTTATAAATACTTGTACCTGGTTGTAGTAGTTTTCCAAGTTTCATCCCCGTACAGTAGAACTGTTTTGAAGTTCTTATCGAAGATTGTGAGTTTGATGTTTGTTGACAGTCGATTTGAGTTCAAATGTGGGAATGCCGACCTTGCATTGCTAATCCTTGATTTACATCTTCATCGATGATGCCGTCCAGGTACGTGAGAGTTTCCATCACCTTCGGAGTCTCTCCGTCAGGATTGATTGCGTCGATGTTCTCCATGTTGTATTTTGGGATCATAGAATTTTTGTGTATGCTGTGGCATACTTATGAATTGGCGTCTGCTACTCTAGCTGTCTTTACATGAATTTGTTGGCGTGTATGGGATAGAAGAGCTAGATCACCTGAAAAGAAAAGCTGAATCCAAGCTGTCCATTGTATTTCGTGCATCCTTCGAGATGTGAAGGTATTCGCAATCTATTCAACCACCAGAAGGAAGAGAAATAGGGAGAGTAAATAGCCATGTCTGATATCGGCCCTCACTTGGATTACGTCTGTCCTCTGTCTTCTATGAACGTCTTTAAAGTGTGGTCCGTCGTCTGAATTCATATGATGTTGACAATCTTCCCAGGTGCATCATAGTTGTAAGGTCCATCTTGAATGTCTTGTGTGTGAGAATCTCTCCATGTATACACTTTCAGTTTGTTCCTATTGATTCTCTTAGTTGTATACTGTTAGTCTTTTCGATTCCATTTGAGTTGTTAATATTTGCATTTTATTATAGTTTTTATTTTTCTTATGCTATGTTTCTTCTTGGACTGCATTTATGTTGTTTTACTTGATACCTAGTCTTGGCGGCAGCCATATTGGTTTGTCCCTCCTGTTGATTGTGTTGCTTGTATTGACCGGAATTTTGCATTTTTGGTTGTGAATTGAGGCACTCTTCCAGAATTCGAAACATTCTATGTCATAAAGCAATCAAATATGATCTTTCGAACAAATCTGTGCATGGTTTATCCAGACAGCATAGAATAGCATTTATTTGTTGCGATTGGTAATTTTCTCGCATCCTTTATCAACTTCCTTATTTACTGTAATTTAGCTTTGATTAATTGAACAATTATTGTTTGAATAGCTGAGTAGTCATACTCGTTTAGGTAACAATGTACATTTAAATCTATGATGAATTTTAGAACTGTCTTTTTGCCAGTTACTTTGTCTTGATGTCAACCGGGCAAGGACGCGGATCTAACCCACCTACACAGCTACTCATCAGTCCAAACCTTAGTTTGGGTCTTACAATAGTATCGATTAAGGTTCCGCAATATTCCCCCATCAAGGCTGTCAAAATGCCTTCTCCTAGTCAAAGAAGTTAATCTTTAGTGACATGTTACATTCAATTGATTTTTCAACGATGATCTGTTGTGTTGCGATGCGGTCTGTGTACGACGGATATCCATGTTATCCGGTCTGTTGATAGCGAAATTTTTCATCCGGTTCGGCAACACACTGTTTCTCCCATAGCTGAGTTCCCAAACTTGCTCAGATCTTCCTTTGGTGTCTTAATGATGTATTCTTCTCTCCAGTTTGTCTGTGACACTTATTACCCTTCCCAAATCTTTCTTGATGAAACATGGCACATAATTGCAGTTGCTTCTATGTTTGAGTTCAATGATTCAGTTGGTATGTTGTCAGGTCCTATTGCTTTCACACTCTTGATTTGTCTGGTGGCCATCCTGATTTCTTCGATGTTTGGGGGAGTGACATCTATAGGAAGATCTGTGGGTGCCGCCAGTGGTTTCAACTGAGTTGACGATGATGTTGTACGTTGGATTTAAGAGAACTGTGTGCTATATGCATGCAAATCCGCCACGTTATTGTTTTTGTTCGAAGTTCAAATTTGACTAAACACAAATATTCAAAAGACAGTAAGATTATTTATATTTAATATCACCGTCTTTAATCGGATACTTTCCTTTAGTTACTACTACAACAGTTGCATCACAATTTAAGATGGATTCAAGGTTCGCAGATATGAAACCAAAGAAGAGCAATCATCAATTCAGTAAGCCGTATCCAACTCACTTGGCATGGCTGAACTGGAGAGCTATGTAGAGAATAAAATCCAAAGGAATATTGTCTCAAAATATGATGCAGCTACGCGTGCAATTCCGGAACTCCGAGGTTTATCATATAAAGAGCGGCTTGAAAAAACTGAACCTCTTTACTCTGTCCTATCGCAGACTAAGGGGAGATCTAAAATTGATGTACAGAATACTGAGAAATGATTTCGGACCTAACTTATTCTCTCTCTTTCTTCCCACTAAATCGGGACACCTCAGAGAACATAGCAGGCGAGTAGACAAGCCAAGAACGAACAAAATACCCGTGGCATACAGGTTTTCACACCGAGTCATCAATACTTGGAACCTGCTGCCTGAAGCAGTGGTATCCGCACTTTCAATTTACTCTTTCAAGAGAAGACTGGACACTCACAGAAGCATACTAGAAAAGGAATAACATAGGCCGTAGGCCTTCTGTCCTTACTACACAAATCTGAATCTGAAATCTGAATCTATTTTAATGGACCAAAAATACACTTAAGCTCAAAATTGTGCTGACGAAAGAATCACTTCAGCTTAGAATACCGTGAAACACTTACGAAAATACACTCACAGAGGTTTTATGAGCTCTGAAATTCCCCATCTGGAATGACAGAAATATGATATTTTGCTGAGTGTTCAAATATCAAAGTCATCATACACTTTAGTTTCAATGGAAAAGAAACAGAATAATTTTGTATCCTCCAACAATCATTCCAGTCAACAAATGCTGACTTTCATAACTTTCAGAAGGAAGCTGCGACAAAAATTATAGGTCTTTTAAATGAAACATCTTTCTTAAAATTTTATGCTTACTCTTATCATTAGACAATTCGCAGATTATTTACAGTAGCTTCTGAGCTAACTAATATACGAAACTTGTCTCCAGTACATACCAACTTGCGCATGCTTGTTGAAATTCTTTAAAACAATTTAATTGAACCGCCGGACTAATCTTAATAGGTGCTGCAAGATATCTGGAGCCTTTTACTGAGGTCATGATGCAGCATTAAGTTAATAGATTTATAACAAGTATTTTATATCTTATATAACCAAGTGGCTGTTTCTGATATCTTAGTCTTTGGTGACGATTTTAATTTATTAATGAAGTTAAACTGCGGGGTTCGAGCAATTTTCCAGTTCATATTGGCATTTAATTAAAGAACTTTATGTTCAATGGTTTACGTGTTCGAAACAATCAACGGATCTAAAGAGAGTTCTGTACATAAAGGTCACAATCAATGAGGTACTGTGGTTTTATGAATCCCAAGTGTGTTTACTCTAAGATTTTTCTCACCAAAACGTAAAAACGTGCATACAGAATGCGTAGGGTTATCGTTTTTCCAAATTTCGATGTATTCAGATGGGAATCGGAGGCTGATCTCCGTCATAATGAAGTACCAGATTTTTATATATACTGAACTGACTATAATTCTTATTTATTAGATGAAGAAGGCCCCTCAGTCAAAATACATTTCCATAAATAGCTCACAAATATTGGTTCTCGTTAAAAAACAAAGTGACTGCCTACTTAAGCAGTGATGTAATATAATTATATTTATATAGCTTCATGTATACATGAGGCTATCTTTTGCGGCTTATGAATTTACAAAGGTACATATCCTTTGTTCGAGTTGTAAGTGGTATTTTATTTACAAAAACTTATGAGAGTACCGCAAGTTCTACAGTTCAATAATAGCGACGCTATACGAATCAGTATATCGCTGCTTTAATGATGTCATCTGCCTCGTTGGTATGCTGTTGAACAACAGTGTTATAACACGCATATTTATGCCAGTTTTAGTCTGTATATATTACAAGTGGCTTAATAGTAGGCGTTCTCTCAATATTGGTAGTTACCATTTCGCTGATTTTTTGTACCCAGACATTGAAGTAGATGACGTGAAACTAACTAGGTTTACAGAAATGTTCCTTACTCGTTTTATTATTATTTCTCACTAGTTTCACAAAAACTAACCATTTTCTTAGACCTATATACTTGACTGGTTTCATTGCGTAATCGGTTATATTCGTTGTCCAATATCAGCAGTTGGCTTTAGCACGAGACGTCAGAGCAGGACGACAATTTCTGGACAAATTATTCAGATTTCATCTCACAATTTTTGCTTTTTTTGCGTGAAATTCACTCATCCATACAGCTAAATCATATTCAGATATCGAAGCTGATGTCAGTTTGTTATGAGAACCCTAATTCTGATTCGTAATTTCAACTCCTAACTCCAAGTTGTAGTCCCGATTCCTCACACAAATATATCACCTTATATCACCCCTAGTAAGTGGCTAACGTTTCCTTAGAACACTTTTATATTACTCAGAGGTAGTCAGTAAATTATAGTCTCCCTGTTAAGTGCTCAATCACATCCATAAATACTGTTCAGTATGCCCCAAAAAGCTGTTACATTGTTCATGTATATAATTATAAGTAAAATCCAATAGTAATGTGTTGGTTGTGTACACTAATCTAATGGTCTAGGTAGATCTCAGCGTATTTTAAAGATGTACTAGTTATACGTTGCATTCAGTTAATGGCTTGCAGAAATCTATTATTTACACCCTCCTTGAGTGTAATCAATAGATCTCATAAACCCGGACATTAGGGAAAAATCTCAAAGTGAACTAACTAATCAAAACATACACAACAAACTAGCTAAGGAAATATAATAAACCGAAGCAAAGTGCAAATCAGTAGAGATTATTGTTTGCCGTCCTTCAATTTAGCCTAATTAGATGGCTAACATGGTGTTCCAATCGTCGGCTGGTTTGTTCGCGTAAAGTCACCTATTTTTATACTCAAATAATTTAAAATTACTGATGTTTTATCATATCACCTTTACAGTGCAGTGAGCCATCGGCGTGTCACCCCGTCATTCGGCACGAATACTAACTTTTGCGAGGCGCAATATATCAAACCAAAGTAGCCAGTCATTTGATTAGGCCTCATCGCATATTTGGCTAATATCATTTGACGTTTACAACTATCGACGTGTATTGCATAGGTCTGTGGTTTCTTTCAGTTCGTGGACTTTATTTGATGTAAAAGTAAGTTGTGTCTGTGTCAACTAAAATATAATACACTTTGCGTATTTTGTCCGTCTTCGCTCTTTATATTGACAAACCTTGTGTTAATAGAACGAGGAATTATTATTGGTAAAATTGGCTCTCACGACGTTAGAAACTTCCAGTTTTGTCACAGTAACAGAATCCAACCAAGAAAAATAGAACGGGACTCCCACAATATCTGAGTTGTAGCATTTTATACTATTTGTACTAGATAAGAAATTGGGCTTCTCCGATCCTCCTAAGTTGATGACTGTTAAAGCAAAGTAATGTTAGTATTGTGATATTCTCCAGAAATGGATACCTCATATAATTGATTCTGTAATGATTTCTGACAGTAAGACAATATGTAGACCATTGTTAGACATAATTCGATGCAAGTTAACTCAACAACTCTTACATTGAGTGGATCACCCGTATGATTGATAAAAGACGAGTGACATAATGAATGATGGTAAACAGTTACGTTGACTAAGTTACTAGCTTATGAGAGATGATCACTCTAAGACAAATGTATTCAACCATTGTAAATGTGTTTTTGACTCCGTAAAAAGACTACTTTAATGTTTAGTGTGCATTTCCCTATATGTTTGTTTGTATTTAAACAGACAAGTTGGTTATTCAACATTTTACCATAACTATCTGTGTTAGATGTATTTAATTGATGAGCTAGGAAAAATTTGATATATAGCTTACTAATAGTTCAATTTAGGATATCGAATTTTGTACTTGGAGAAGTTAATTACATACCACTCACTGTAGTTTGGTAGATAAATTACTTGATGAATCACTTTGCCACACTTCTGTATCTTCTAGGTTAAATAACTATTCAGTCATGTCAGTTTATCCACCAGTTACCGAACAGAGCACCATTGTCAGAATGCCACGACTTTCAAACGCTGACACTCGTCATGGTAGTTTCCAGCCGTATCCCAGAGGTTCAAAACTCTCACGTCAGTTACAACAGCCTCACGTCACACTGGTTGAATATAAAACAGCTCGTTTTCTAATCACAGATGAACCTAATGCACACAATATGGAAAATTTTATCATGGTACGTTGTATTTCTATGCATCAAGTAGATTTGCATCATTATATTAAAAAAAATCTAGTGTTCCTTTATCTGACGAATTGAACTCAGTGTAAAATCTAAATCACATTGCTCAAATACACTAAACTGGATAGCTTTTGAATTGTGTATGTGAAGTCTGATAATCAATTGAAATTTACAGCTTCTTGTTAGATAAATTCTTGCTTCCTGGATTCTTATGTTATCACTACATACAATAACCAAGCCAATACTCATCTGAATTAAGTTTTTAGTTGTGTAAGACTCAATGTGTTATCGAGTTATCAGCAGTGTTTTGTTGATCGCACAGGGGGGAATATATTGTTTTGAATTCTTAATGTATCACAATATCCTAAATCCAATGATTTACTTTGGGCGACTGAACGTCTTTCAACGTCTTTTAATATAATTTAAAGGCTAACATCTTACGAGATAATAACACATATAGTGAAACAAGATAGTATTTGTTTTACTATCATATTTGGGACACTTAATCAATGTATTCAGTAATCCTATTTACAATTAAAAGATCCTAATCCCGTTTGTATACAGGCGTAAAACTTCCTTTTGGAATAGAACAAAGTACATCGACCTCACTGGTTTTAATGTAGAAATGTTAGTAACATCATTGAGATGCTGGTTTTTTTGCCTTATGTGGTCACGCAAGCAGTGAAAGAAGAATGCAATTATACCAGATGTTTATTCAAGCGTTAACAAATCTTAGACGCTAAGCGTATGTTTTTAGATAGAAGCCTATCTGAAGTAGAATGTTTCAATGGTAGCTTTATTTGTAACATGACAACCTCAGGAGAAATCCTTACATTTTCCGATATAGATATTGGATTGATTTAACAAGTTCAGGGACTCATGATCCGACTTTAGTCGTCGTTGTTATCCTCAAATGTTTTGTATTTACAACATATGGTGGGGGCCACAATAGCTTAGCAAATATACTGACATTAGCCCTTTACCCAGGAGTTTTACGTATAGTGTAACCTAATGTTTTTCTAAAAAAAACTATTTCTAATCAATAGGTCGTAGATTCGAACCCTACTCCACCTATTTCAGTTTGCTTATTTGCATAAAATCACTAGTCCTTGCATCTTAACATAAAACTTAAAATGTATTTATTTATTTTATTTTAACACATTGGTAAAAGGAGGCATTAAATACATATGCGCCACACAAATCTCATTCGATATGTATGAGGGCTGTAATACTGCTCGGGTGCCCAAACCGAAGCAGGTGGTTTTCTTAGGGGGCCACACCCCAAGCCTTTGACCTAAAGGTCTGACCCACAAGGCAGTAGAACATCGTAAAGAGATGCAGTCCCATGGAAACCGGTGACCAACAGTTGGTTCATACGCCATTTGTTCCCGCAGGATACTGGAGCCCATTTGCACCATTGGTTTGGGATCCGGATAAAGCGCCGGACATTCGGTTTTCGTCCTCTCATTTTCATAAACAACATCTCGGTGGTGAGAGAAGGCAGTGAGCTAGACTTCCCTGGCAGAGGCTATATACGCGTGGCTATGTGAGAGCATTTTGAGAGGGAGAGCGGACTCTCCCCACTATCGGCCGTACCAGGGCATTCGGGGGCATCAAACTATATTTAATAATTGATAAACACAGAAATATAAATGATATGCTGTACATGAACTTCGAATTGTAACCGCTAAAAGAATGCATCACTTAATCTATTAAAGCATATAGATAGATTACATACGAATAAAATTCTTTCAATTGGTTACTTTTACGAATTTGAATATAACCAGAACAAACATACATACCGAGTAATATGAATTCATCATACTTTTACATGGTTTCTCATCAGCTACTTACAACTATTGATATGTATTGAAAGTTTACATTGAGAGATAAGATATAGTGTGAAACAATTGACAATACATACATGGCTGTTAGCAGCTGATGAGAAACCATAATTTCATATTATTCTGTATCCATGTTTGTGTTGACTTTATTCAAAATAAACTTCTATTTCTAGATGAAAGACAATCGATTAATTTGCTTGATTTAACTTTATTAGAATATTTCTATAAATCTTTTAATGTTGTTTTCTTTCTTTCTTAATCTCAATTTACGCTTTAACATCCTAATAATTCCTAACTCTCTGGATGAAATTAGGTCAAGCATTCATTAGAATAGAATAGAAATAAAACTTAAATTATTGATTGGGAATGAAAACTGTCGATTATGTATTTTATATCTATCAAATAAATTGCTTTAGAGTTAAGGTTGTGTGTATGGTTTCATATTCTGTATGGCAACTTGGACTGATGCATTTATATGCCTGGTCCTACGTTGTAACTGAATGACTCACTGACTTTCATGTTCTGTAAAGATTGGGAAATCAAAGATTTATTTAGAGTTTGTTGAATAATTTGATGAAAAAATTCTTTCATCTAATTACCGGTTCGAAAATTAGTATGTTATTATTATTATTCAATAGTTTATTAATCTGGGCATTATTGACGTTAATCCCAATGGTGCATATTATGATTCCGCTTTCACTAGGCGAGTTCAAAAAGCTATATATTATTACTAATTTTCATGAACTAAATAAGTATACTTATTTTGGTGGAGTTTTGTTCTCTGAACTGGATAGTTTAGTCGTGGAGCTTTCATCGTTCTTCTGAACGACATCATCAACACAAACTTCAGATAGAAGTGAAGTGTTCGAATCTCTCCATATGTGTTTCACAGCTTGTTCTGTGCACCACGATGTTGATTGGTTGTTATTGACTTTAAATTTGTCATTATTTGCTTCTTTGTTTTGGTTGTGTCTCCCATTGATTTGATTTTTATTCCTATATTTGTGCATGATTTTCCTGATTGGTTGGTAAATTGGATTGATTTCAATATGCTTGTTGATTGCTGATTGACCTGAGTGCCAAGCTTCTAAAAATCCTCTGGTGTTTTTGGAGTTTCCTCTGTCTAAGATTTCCACATTTTTCCAATCGAATAAGTGTCCGCGGTTATCCACGTGTATTGATTTAAGTGAGGAAATATCGTGGCGTTTGACTGCTAATTGGTGTTCGTGTAGGCGAAGGTGCAGGGGGCGTCCGCTTTGTCCGATGTAGTGTTTTTCGCAGTTGGCACAATTTATTTTGTAGATGATGTTTGATTTGTTTTCTTTTGTTATTTCATCCTTTGGTTTGCATAGGATTGATTGTAGTGATTTTGTCGGTTCGTGTGCCACACCTATCCCGAATGTTTTCAGCAGTCTCGTTGCGGTTTCTGATATTTCTTGTATGTATGGTAGGGTGATCCTTTTGTTGATTTCTCTGCTTGACTTGGGTTCAGATGCTGTGTGTGGTTGGTATTTTTTGATGAAGTTGATTGGGTAGCCGTTCTTTTGAAATACGTCCTTCAGGTATTTCTCTTCATTTTTTCGTGCTGCCAGTGTGCTGCAGTATGTCCTCGCCCTCTTGAACAAAGTGTGTACGCAGTTGATTTTGTGACCTTCTGGGTTGTTGCTATTGTAGTTGAGGATTTGATCTGTATGGGTCGGTTTCCTGTATACTTGAGTTTCCAGTTTTCCTGTGTCGGTTCTAGTGATCAATATATCCAAGAATGATAGTTTATTGTTTGACTCCTGTTCCATCGTGAACATGATGTCATCGAAAACGTTGTTGATCAGTTTGTAAGTGTTTCCCAGCTCATTCTTTTTGACGATGACAAAAGTGTCGTCTACATAGCGAATCCAAATTTTTGGCTTGATCACTGGTAGTATCGCGGCTTCTAGTCTTTGCTCCAAGACCAAACCATCCAGCTCAGAGAACAAAACTCCAAAATCATCCACCTGAGGTACAAATCTCCACCATCTCAAGTATACTTATGCATAGTTGTTAATTCATTTCAAGAACATATTTTTTATAACGATTTTCATTCAGGTTTTCAAACTACACAATGTACGCAAATTGGTTCGAGTATGCAAAGCTACCTATGATAAAGAACCGCTTGAATCTGTTGGAATTGAAGTTGTGGTAAATTTTATTGTTTATCATAGTTATTATGATATAATAAAAACTTTCTGATGATGTGTATACTCTTACTCTTTCTACCACTACGGGATTTGAATCAACAATTGTATCTCTGTGCTAATGTGGTATGGCAACTCGAACTGGTATATGTACGTACGAAGTTCTACGTTGTTACTGATTGAGTGAAGACCACATATCAGTCAGTCATGATCAGTATGAGAACCAGGTACATATGTGAGCGTTGGCTCAAGTTCCTATAACTCATTGGCACAATAAGATGAATATTAAAAAAAACGAATCGGAATAGTGCAACAGTTGTGATAGTGAATATTGAGACGACAAATTTGAAAAGCATGTTTGAGAGAGTGCTGGAACTGAAAATCTGGAAGAGGATACGGAATGAATGGATTTGGGCCATTGTAACTGATTCTAGATCATATCACTCAATTTCTTCTAATCATTAGTCACATTTATTACACAGACCTCAAGCAGTTGGTTTGAATCTACCGATTTAGCTCTGACCACATATGTCATTATATTTCAGAAATGTTCAGAGATCTCTTCGTCATTCTGTTTCTCATCTTCAATTCTTATTTATTTATTGATAGATTAAGAGTTTTATCGAATGATATATGAAGATCTAGGTCCCCAGTAGACTGAATTTAAACTGCTTACTGTATTCACATATTTTGTAAATCAGTTTTTTCTCATTGATATCATGAATCAGTCTAATTTAGACCACCATTGAAAACTTGGAAGCATCAGATGGCCGTTTCGTCCTAGTATGGGACTCCTCAGTGAAGATGGGCTTACACGACCACACATGCAGGAATCGGACCTAGAATGATCGGTGTTGCGCGCGAAAGCTTAAACTTATGACCAATGACCATGGACTCAGTAGTGTACAAGTCTAGAGGTTAAACGTTCGCGCGCAAGACTGACCATGGGTTTTATTACTGCTTACGCGCTGTTGAGGAGTTCCGTGCCAGGACAAAACGGCTGTCTAGTGCTTTTAAGATTTGAATGGTTGTCTAAGTTCGATCGGTTCGGGTCTCAATGAAATTCAACAATCTCGATAACCTCATGCTGATATTATTGTTTAGTGTTTCTAACCATAGCTTCTACCTTGGTATAATGGTCAGGTTTACTTATCTTGACGACCCTATGGAGTTATAATGAATTTTATGCTCTGTAAATCAGTTGATCAGACCAAACACAAGCAGATTGTACATCTGAATCATAGGTCATTCTGTTATAGTGGTATCTGATTTCCCACCAAGAACTGACATCTCTTCTAATACTGGATTTCCGCAAAAATATTAGGGAACTAATTTTTTAAATGTATTCACTGTGTATTGAAGTCTTAACAAAATTAGTTTGTGTTGACCGAATAATAATTCTTAGATGATTCGGGCAACGTATTTATGTGTAAGGGAACGAAGTATTAATTTAATCATAAATTGACTTGATCTTTTCAACATTTTACAGGATCTTGAATACGATGATGGTGCACCGCCTCCAGACGTAGTAATTGAAAAATGGTTTCAACTGATTACGGACGTATGTCAACAAGGACCTGGAAGTTGTATAGCTGTACACTGCAAAGCTGGACTTGGCAGGTTAGAGTTAGAAAATATTATGATAATATACTTCTGTTATTAAAATTTTTATATCACAGTGACCACAATAAATTCCAAGCTGTGTATAGTTAATAAAGACAATATGAACGACATCGATTGTATCGACTTAATTTACACTAGTTTCCCGTTCCAATTGTAATTATGATATGCCATAAAACTTAATACACAAAGAGTCAGCGACATTTGTTTTTGCGTGTTATGAACCTTTTTTTCACTTCATGGAAATATTTCTTGAATAAACAAATTTCACAACCGTTGAGGAAAGTTTTCTGCTCATTTAAACTTCGTATTGTCTTATTAAGCAAGCTAGTTTACTATTCGTGAATGTGTTAAGGACGAATTGTCAGTTTGGGCCACATTGATGTATATTTGTGTGTTTGTTTGCACATATAGGTCAGGTTATATTGACCACACATAACCAACATTTTCCAAACACATTTCAGAACGTTACAAGGCATGGAGTTTTAAAGGGGAATGCAAAGCAACCACTAGATAAATACAGCAGCACCTCATCAACTCTGGGAACGTTGCTCCAAAGGAATCGTCCTTTAAAATAATCTACACAGTTAAAAAATGTGTCAAGGAGAGGTCAAAGAAAAAAAACTTATACAATACTGGGGTATTAGTGGTTCATCAATTCAAGCTTGAACTCTGGGTGAAAATTCTCATCATTACATAGACCTAACACCTTTCTCCAGCATGTTTTGGTTTTGTTTTTAAGTTCCACCTGGAGCCCCTCTAGAATTTCTGCTGATCCCAAGCTTGGGTAAAAGAAGCTGGTTGAACTTGTAGTTAGCAACCTCATCTCGTAAAAAAATCTTGTTAACAAAACTGTAAACTTGCAAACCTTCGCTTTATTTACACTTTATGCCTCTCGTGGAGCATATGCCGCTGACCTAACAATTTCCATGATTATTATTCAATTGTTATGACTCACACGTTTTTCATTTCCTCTTTATATCTGTTAAATAAACAGTTACCTCTCTTATGCCTCTCGAACCACACGATCACCACTACCCAATCTTCTTTCGTTATTTAAAATCTCGACTCACCTTATCATATAATTCTATTTCTATTCTCTTATAGACTACTATATGTATTTATCAAATTACTGTAATAACAAATGTACAACTTAAGTAAATCATTTCATTGAAAACTATAATAATTTCAAGTAAAATTCTTTAAATTTCAATCTATTCAATTTTATAATTTTTCATTTAGAGCTCCTGCTCTTGTTGCAGCCGCTTTAATTGAACTTGGTTTACCGTACAATGAAGCTGTAGAAATGATTCGTGGGTAAGTGAATAATAAAATTAGAATTAATGAATGAATTCATTAGATTTAAAATATGAAATTTGTTCATTTATATGACAAAAAAAAAGAACACATTTTTTGTTGTTGTTGCCATTTATAGCTGATGTTAGTTCGTGATGATGATAACAACTGAAATCTTTAACTCTGCAGATCGTGAATTTCGATTTCTTACACTAATTGATAACCTTCTTCCATTCTCAGCTAAAACTCAGGATTGGGTACATATATGCATCAATCTAAGTTGCCATACCTCATTAGCACAACAAGATAAACACCAAATTCATAGAAGTAGTTACTTTAATGGTAGTACAGGGAGAAAAAAATTAGTTCATAGGAAGAACGGTATAAAACAATTTTAATCTCATAGTTTAAGGGAAGATAAAATGTATACACCGACGCCATTGTGATTGATTCTGAACCATTTCACCCATAGTCTTCAACCATTTGTTACAATAGTCACGACATGACTTCAAGGACCGATGCCATGTTTTGGTTTGGCCGCCCCTAACTTTCATCCAACCATTTCCAACATTAGTCAGCATTGCGCGTCATGGTAAACGACCGTCTTTAGACTCTATTATGTTGGTGAATTTGTTTTAATGATCATTTTAGCATTACTTAAAGGTTGTCTATAATATAGAATTTCATCAATTCATAAATCTAACATTGTTTTGATTTGTATACAGAATAGATCTACAAATGAACTCATATAAATTTGATTATAAATAAGAATAATTAATGTAGTAGGATACCATGGATTTATTTCTATTTTACCGGTTTTCATCAGCTGCTTACAACGCTCTAAAGAAGAAAACGCAATCTACATACTTTATGTATTATAATAATGGAAGTATTCTCATTAATGAAGGTCAATGAAAAGAGTACTAATTAGTGTAGAAGAAGGAAGGATATGAGGTGTTCGTATGTTAATCGATGTGAATATTTATAAGTTAGATATAAGAATATTCTAGAATAAATAACTAAGAGTATAGGAACAGAGTTATTAAGAAATAATATATTAATGTTATATTTATGTAACTCTTAAAATAAAATAAACGAACTAAATACAGAACATATAAAAGGTGAGAGGTTAAGCGCTCTCATGAGAGACTGATAGGTCCTGGGTTCGAATCTCGTGAGGCGGGTTCGTGGATGCGCACTGCTGAGAAGTCCCACAGTAGGATGAAACGACTGTCCAGTGCTTCCAGGTTTTTCATGGTAGTCTAGTTTCAATTGACTCATGATCTCAACTATTGAAATTACTATAATATCTACAAAAACCCCTTCTGATATTAATTAATAATTGGTGTCATGAAAAGAATTTTATATCAAATATTTATGAATAAGTTCACCAATGGAAACCAATAATAACAACTGAATCTTTCTGGATATATAAATTTGGTTTCAGTCATTTTATACCTTTTGCTTCAGTAAACCTTAGTAAATTTGACGTTCTTTGTCTATTAATTATCTTGAAGGACTTTGATAAATCAATGTCATTGTTAAGCAGACGGCAAGCAATAGCACTACTGAAAATGTATTACTCTCTTAGTCTAAACTTCCGTGAATTTGGTTACGAACGAGGTGATCTCTAATGGAGTTTAAGGTTTCCGACTCTGTAGAAGGATCTCTACAATTGTTTTTTTCCAGGATTACTATTGCAGGATTCCTTCAAAACGACACTGATCAGTGTCGTCTACATGCATGTCTTTGCAAGTTGATGGCTAGAGATAGACGACAGGGTTAGGATACTGCCCGGGTGCTCAAACCAAAGCAGGTGGTTTTCATAGGGGGCCACCTCCGAACCTTTGACCCAGAGTTCTAATCCACAAGACAGTGGAGTAACGTTATGAGATGCAGTCGCATGGTAGCCGTTGAACAACAACAGGTTTTTATTTCATTTGTTCCCTCAGGATCTTGGAGCCCATGTAAACCGTTGGTTTGGGATGAGCATTTCCCAACTCCCTCAGATAAATCCTCCATATCCACCAACCTGGTTAAAGCGCCAGACATTTAATTTTCGTCCTATCCATTTCGTATACAACACCCCCGTGTTGAGAGGAGGCAGTGGGTAGGACTTCCCTGACAATGGCTGTATACGCGTGGCCATGTGAGAGCATCTCGGGAGGGTAAGCGGACTCTCCTCACTCTCGGCCGTACCAGGTCATTTGAAAGCAGTTTCTAAATTATCTTATCAATGTTCGTTTATTCCGCTAATCCATATTTTCTTCTCAAGTCGTATCCTCGATGCTTAATCTTTTCTATTTCTACTACCCTGGATATTACCTTAATCATTCCATCTCGTTGTACTAACAGTGTGTAATCACTTAAACCAATACACATATATGCTGGATTCTATGTTATAATGTATCAACTAGTATTCATCTTAATCATGAAAATTTCTTACTGACCATTTCCATATACTTTTTTTTAAAAATTATTATTTTAGACAAAGAAATGGAGCATTAAATGCTCGTCAAGTTCAATATTTAAAAAATTTCCATCCAAAAAAACGTCTTCGTCATATCAAATCACAATCGGATCGATGTGAATTATTATAGAATAAAATGTCATTGTTAAATAACAGATATTTAACCTTATTATTACCATTATTATTTATTATCATCATCATTAATATTGTTGTACATGTATTCTCCCGCTGTTGACATTATTTCATCCATCCATCCAGCCCCCCCCCTTTGGCCATGACTTTACATTACAATGTATCCTGTAAACTGTATCATTTTTATCTCATTGCCTTCTTGTTTGTCATTTTCTTTCTTTCTGTACACTTTCATATTATTTCTCAAAGGATAATTTTTAAAATGAATTAAAAAATAAAGATAATTGTCAATGAAGAGAATTTCTTTTCATCTTCTGTTTGTCAATTTAAGGTGTACAATCATGTTTATGATTGATTTATTTACTAAGAAGATAATAGTAGTAGTAGTAGTAGTGTAGCGTGCGAGAACAGAAGTGCAGACAAAATTACAGAACGTGACATCAGTGCTTGAAGTCATTGATTTCTAGTCTGAGCTATGTTGGTGGATGCAGACTATTTGGTTGGGGTCCGTGTGACTACCGTAACCAATGGTTGGAGGCTCTTGGTGACATGACTCAGAATCGATCACAATGGTGTAGGTGTATACATTCTTTGTGTGCCTTTAAACTATGAGATTAAAATTGCTTTATATCTTTCTTTCTACCAAATGATTCTTTCATCCTGTATTCTATTCTTATACACGATCTTTCTTTTATGTATTACTACCATTGAAGTAATTCTATGGATTTGGTGTTGATCTTGTTGCGCTAATGAGGTGTAGGAGCTTGGACCGATGCATATATGTGCTTGATCCTACGTTGTAGCTGACTGAGTGAAATCTGAGAATCATACAATAAATACTTCATTTGCAAAATGTCAATCCGCTATCTCAAACCTCGTTGTACTTTCGTTTACACACCAATCATCCTCTGTTGTCGTTCTTTTCTCTTCGATTTTCTTAACCTTCTGCCTCCAGTCATTTCACTTTCGATTGATGATACATACTACTTATTTATATCTGTTGACATCAATAGCGTACACCACCGTAATAGTAATGATAATAATATCAATCTGTAGTAAAATTGAATAGTGATAATTAATTTGCAAAACTTTGAAGTTGTATCGTACCATGAGTTGTATACAAAAGTCAAATATTCAAAGAAAATTTTATAATAATCCAACGGATAGTGAGAGCTGTGAAGATATTTGTCTATTTGATAAAATATTAAAAACAGAATAATGAAAAGTAGAATTGAATGGTGACTAGTAATCTATGTCAGGTCTCGTGTTTCGTCTTATTTGAGACTCATCAGTTTAGTGTGCTTGAATGTCGAAGTTGATGTTTGCTCCAGGACTCAGACGTAGTACTGTTCTCTTTAAACAATTGGAGCGTTAATCACCCAAGTATTGAGTCCAGATAGCCACTAGGTTGTGCAATTAAGTGAAGTTTAATTCACTTGTACTGGTTGTTTGAATATTCTCTTTGATATTTAGGACTACAATTGATCAGTCTCTTGTTGACTTATATGTATCCTGTGCGGATCGCCTTTATATTTCCAATGTCATAAACATTATAAACAGAAATTGATGATGACTAGACTGATCAATAGGAAGATTCAAAAGGATAATGAATAGTTATAAAAACTAATTGGAAAATAGTGGAAAAAAACAGTAGATCATAGAAAATAGAAAGGAAGGTTAAGACCATGGAAATTGAGGGATTGAATGTACTGTTTTTGTACGCAGAGGTTTAGCTTGAATTGGTCCATAGCTATAGCCTCTGCTGTACTTACTTACGTAAGTAAGTATTCCTTTAGAACCGATTCTTTTGATTATGAATAGCTTTGAAGAATGATTTTGATAGAACAGACTAACCAGTACTAACTAGATAGGTCAGTGTAGAGCTTTTGACTGATTTTTGTACTCCTTAAATAGCCAGACAGGATAATGTTTGGAGGTGGGCTTTGAAAGAACTCGATTTATGTAGTCAATATAACCTGCTCCACATAATCATATAAATGAATAGATGCTCAGTGAAGGCTTGGCTTTTACACAGCTATGCAGCGAATGTCCAAACAGACAATGTTCAGACGAATGGGATGCTTCTCCTAAAGATCTCAAAAGTCTGCTTATTATAATTCTTACCTCAGCAAAATAAAGAGAAAAAAAGTAGAGACAAAAGAATTGTTAGTTTTAGTACGAATGACTAAATATAACAGGGAGTTTCAAGATTTGTACTTGAAATTGGATAGTACGATAATACACTAGGTTGAATCAAATGATACAAAATATCAGCTAGTGGTTGGGAACCAGATTATGAGACAGTAATCTTCTGTGAACCTGCACTCTTGCGACCGATTTTGAACCATGTTCCACAAAATCACCAACCGTTGATTATGTGCATATGTACTAACCACTTCGTTCGATAGAGATCTACAGTCTCGTTGAATTATTTGTCATGTTTGTGTAGTACTACAATCCTAACCACATCATCAGTCAGTCGGTTGTTTCAACATACACAGGTGGTGTTTCGAAAAGGCCTGTGATCAGATAATGGTAACTTGGGAACGTCTAGTTCCAAAGACCAAGTTTTAGACCATTCACCTGCCTATAGCATTGAGATCTATAAATCAGTGACATTCTACTGTCCCCCATTTTACCTCCATGAAGTAGTTTTAGGACCTCGTGAAACGAAAATTACTTACATTCTCAAAGTTTTATTTGACCAACTTCTTATTTCTTTTATGTACATAGGCCTCAGCATTTCTGATTGACAATTGCCGTAATATTACGAAAGGTGATATTCTTTTCGATCACTACGGATTTCATGGTACTGACCAGCCTTCTCAATATTACTCTCATCCGTTTCTGATTTTGAATACACCAAATAAAAAGTATTTGAGTATGTGCAGTTATTTCACATTTGCAAACATGTAATTGATTGTTATTTCGTGATAAGTCGACCATCCTCCTACTGCTGACTTATTACTAAAATACTGTCTTTCGTCGCTTGTATTAAACTGGTAATTACTTTAAGACAAACCCTTGTTAACAGGACAATTGGGAATTAGAACAGGGATCTAGTTCGCGTACCTCATTGTCTCTTTCTAATTTTCAGGTGACCAGGAAGTAACGACCATCTTTACATCTCTAAAAATACTCGGAGGCCTGTTGTTCACAATCGAATTCCCTCTTCATTTCCTGGTATCTCTACTACCAACTCCTCTTCTATGGTTTCTTCTTTGTCCCCACTAGCCATGTTGGAGCTTTCAATGTTCAAACCGTAAATCAAATCAAACAACAGACTTCATTAGCTAGGAGTCTAGAATTTCGTACCACTAAGACTTGCATTTAAGATGAAAGTGTAGTCAAGCAGTTAAACTCAATTAACACGGATTACGAATACTTTTCATCCTCTGTGTATCTGCTACTTCTCTCAGCCTTGCTATTGTAGGTATAGTAATCAGTTTAAATGTGAAGCAGGTTCTCTGTGACTGAATTTCAGGAGATAGTCATCAGTGTACTATCCATTTCAGTGGGATAGTAAGAACTCGGGAGCATAGTGATGCACACCGTTGTATTTTCCTCGTTTTTGCCTACGATCCTACTGACTGACTGAAATTTGAGTGGAGAAAAAATGAGTTTCATAGGAAGTGCTCTACTTTTTACCAAAAAAATTATGGTGTGTTGTTCAGTCTTTAAAACTCATAGTTATAAGTATTTAATACAACACCATGATACATCAGATTAGCATTACATTTTAACTTGTACAAAATGTTATGTTTGCTGTTTGATTAACACAGAATAGCGTATGTCGCTACGGTACTCGAACATATGGAACTCCACAGTCACAAAATCAGAAGACAGAAGGAAGCTGGAAAAGTGTTTGTTAGGTAAGAATCAAAATGTACAGAAAATCATGGGTATTTATAGATGTTAGCGTTTGTTCTAACATCATTATAATTCAGCCAATCCGTAAACAGGCAAACTATGCTACTGTCCAATCATAGTATGCCACGTTGATATTCTAGAAAGCTCCATCACGTTCTGATTGAATGGAAACGTTTCGTCTCCCTTAGGGCCTCCGGAGGCTCCGTCGTAATTCTCGGAAGATGTCACAACACATAACTAGAATATGATAAGTTCCAGGCATAGTAAAAATAAACAGTGTGACGATGAGAACTACCATGATAGTTTAAAGAAAAAATTAAAAAAAACTGAATTAAACTTAAGCTGACGGTTGATTAAGTAGAGTTAGTGAACATAAATGACTTATCTCTGTTCGATGAGACTATAATTTATGGACGACCTTTGAGCGACGCTAAGATGACACTGCGAGTGTCTATCTACTTACTAGAGCTAAATGAGGGTTATAAAACAGTTTGAAGGATAAGGATTATGATTTACATTTGATGGTTAGGGTTAGGAATTAGATCTAGGGTTTTCGTCACCGACTGACATCAGTTATAAATGGATTTCGCGCCAAAATCTAATACCTATTGTCGTAAATCTGATTGGTTCGTTCATAAATTATAGTCTCATCGACTAATACATTGAGAGAGTTTTAGAAAGAATAAATTTATTATTATTATTATTATTGTGAAGTTTTCAGTTAACTACTTACTAATTAAATAGAGAAGTTACATCATCATATTATTGTAAACAAAATTAAGTACCAGTCACATAATACAAAGATTCTATTTATAGAAGTGAGAACATCATGTCAGTTCTACTGTACGGAGCTCAATCTTGGAGAACTAATACAACCATCATCAAGAACGTACAAGTATTTATTAATAGTTGTCTACGCAAGATACTCAACATCCATTAGCCGGATACCATCAGTAACAACCTTCTGTGAGAGAGAACAAACCAGCTGCCAAATGAATGGGAAATTAGGAAAAGTCGATGGAAATGGATAGGACATACATTGCAGAAATCATTAAACTGCATCACGAGACAAGCCGTAACCTGAAATCCTGAATGGAATCGGGAAAGACGAAGGCCAAAGAACACATCACTTTGAGAAATGGAAGCAGATCTGGAAAGGATGAATTACAACTGGAAGGAGGTGGAAAGGATTGCCCAGGACAGGGTTGGATGGAGAATGCTGGTGAGTGACCTATGCTCCTTCACGAGTAGTCACAGGCATAAGTAAGTAACTCTACTATACGGAGTTGAAACTTCGAGAACTATCATAACCATCGTTCAAAAGGTACAAGTATTTATAAGCAATTGTCTAGATAAGATACTCAATATCCATTGACCGGAAACCACCAGCGATAGCATACTGTAAGAGAGCACAAACCAGCTT